ACCTTGCGTTAGTACACGTCGTACTATCCCGTGAACGTCAACACACCCTCTGCCCCTAAAAAAGTCTCCACCACTGCTATTTTTATTTAACAAAGCCGAGCAGTATTCACTCTTAGAACATAATACCTAAAGCTTTATATATATACATACTCCCTCCAACATCTACAAAATAACAGTCGAGGAACTTGATAGTTGTACTGACAGACTTTGCAGCACAGATAACAGACGAATCTATTTTTACCGCAAAGAAACCGCACTGATGATGCAGACAGTAATGGATTCTTTAAAAAAAATGTCTGATTCATTTGTTTTGACTGAGAGAAACACCTCCGAAAATAAACAAAATACAATCACACACACACACACACTCAGACATAAACTGCCTAAGTAATTTAACCACATTAAACCTAAGATAACATTTCTTAATAAGTGTACGGGAAGCGACCAGAAATTAGGATAATTCCCAGAGGGAAAAAAGAAGGGAAAAGTGTGTTATGCGTATGTGTCAACAGTTTCACGAAAATTTATTTACCAGGCGGCTAATAAATCAAACCATTGTTGGTGTTGTTGATGATGATATTTTTACCAGATTACTGTTATTATACATAGATAAAACATATTTAAGTGAGCTGAAAATAGATTGGTAGTGAAATCACAAGGTTTAAAACAGTGTGCTATGAAGTCAAATTTTCAAGAGTTTGTTTGTTGGGATTTGATTTGTTTTTCAAGTTTGATCGGGGATTGATATCAGTTAGACAACCATTGGAAAGTAGGGGTACTGGACAGCTGCTTTTTATCCCAGTCTGGGACTCTTCAACAGTACATATCCATAACTCCACTGAGGTGAGTCCAGTCACTGGGATAGAATATAATGGTCCATGAATTCTACCTTCTATCGATTCGCAATTACATCACGCATGAAGAAATTTAAATCATTTCACTCTGTGCTAAATATGGCGCTGAAGATGTCCGGAAGGACGACGAAAGCTTCGCGACTAAACCAACCAGCTCAGAGAACACTTTTAATTGCAAATCATCCACCTGAGCTACAAATCTTCTCTATTATTTCAGAATATTTTCTTCTCAGTTTGTTAACAGATTGATATCAGTTAGAGAATCACCATTGTAAAACAGCACTCTAGTACTGGACAGCTGTTTCCTCAGCCTAGTTTGGGACTCATCATCAGTACTCACTCATCCCACTGACAGGGTTCCAAGCTGGGACTTTCCGGTTACAAGTCAAGCTAGCTCGTAGACTATTCAACCAGTGGGACCCGACTCCTCAATGGCCAGCCATGAATTCCAACTTCTGCCAATTAGAGATATATATAGTGCGACCACTAGCCAGTGTCATCGCTGGCGTGTATTTTTCCTCACACTCGACCTGCTGTATCCCACTGGTCACGAGAAAAGTAGTAAGTGAATCACAATAAAAAGAAGTACTTCCAACTACTCCTAAATGAACAGAAAGTAAACTCTACCCTAAGAAACAGACCATTTTCACGAAATACTACAACTGATTGTTACTCAAAATATTCTTAAATGATGATAGCACTTTAAGATTTTTAAATGCGATTTGAGGCTAAAACATGAGGCTAATAAAAAGTAGTAGAAAATAATTTCGCACAAGAATTTATTTTAGAAATTTGAATTCGAATTGATCAAAATCCACGAATGGCAGACTACTGAAAAGATTTCAAAATAGAAAGACACTACGGATTACACAGTTAAATGTGCAGAAAAATCTTGTTTCAACTTTCTAGACATTTTGGGATTATTTTACGCAGTTTTATAATGATTCAATTAGATTTGATAGTCAAAATGTTCTAGAAAAATCATACAACACATAGTTTGGAAATTTATAAACTTCGGCAAAAATTTTCTCTAAAGTTAAATAGTATCTTACTAAAAGTAGGCACTACATAGCGACTGATATGAAAACAACACAGACATGTGGATAGATAGACACCAGATTACAGCAGTTAAACCTAATAGCATGAACACAGTTCCAGGACATGTCTTTCATATTCTAGACTACGAACCACACATTTTATTGTATGAGGAGGGCTGGAGATACTGCCCACTGCTATCAAGGCTAAAGTAGGTGTCATAATCCAATGAAGCTCAAACAAGAACAGTTGTTAAATAACTGACTAATTAAAACATTTTAAGATAGTCATAACTAATACTAAAAAGTCAAAAAACTGATGATAATAATAATAATAATAAAGGACCCTTCAAGAATGAGATAGGCCAAAAGTTAATCAGATATTGCAAAGTCACATTCACTGTTTCTTTTAACAAGAGAATATGTAACAGGGAAGAAACCTAGGACTTTAAAACAAGGGTAGACACCAAAGCCAAATGACCTTGATTCGACCGATCAGATAGCTCAGCATTGCAAATGAATGCTAGTCATAATCCTCGTTGCAAGTGTCTCCTAGATTTGGGTTTTTGAATTCTCTATGGAAATTGGATTTACAGGGAGGAATAAAACATGCATATGTGGAGGGATAATGACTCTGCAAAGCTATTGCCGGGCTATTGATGGTTATACATTCAGATGCAACTACTTTATATGAGATAGTTTGTGTAAGTTGGTAAATCATACACAATTGGTGATTTTTCTAGACACTTTCTTCTCTGAATGAAAGCTCTCCTTTAGTAATATATTGCGTATATGCGCCCAGTATCTGCCATAGCTGCAGAAATGGAGAATACATTCGTTTGATATGTCTATAACTACCTCTATGAGGAATTGGGGGCAGTTTTTGCAGCATATTAGAGATATATACCCTGTATGATTCATTTTTATCACATATATATCATAGGTACACATTTTTATAAATCAAGTACCACTTTTCACTTAGAAGAATCTGATTGGCTGTTTCAAGGTCGTTTCAATTTGGTGTCTTTCCTTTACTGTTGCCGACGTTTTTAATAAACAGAGTAGAGAGTTCAGTCGGTCAGATACGATTTTAATGAGTGTGAAAATTAAGACTCTGACAGCTGAAAAGCATGAGTGTAATCATTTGAAGGTATTTTGAACAATGAATGTGTATGTACAGGTCACAATGCATTAAACATGAATCACTGGACAGCTAATGAGAAACCGTCGTAACTCAGTAATGAAAATTTGCCTTCTCTCACGTTTTTGTACATATATGATAATGTAATTAGATCAAAATTTACTCAGAAAAATTTTAATAAATTAGAATATATCACCTAGAATGATTTAAATTCAAAAATAATTCCATCAGACCCTTGGATCAGTTCCTTTCCCAATATGAACATTACAAGCTGAACTGCAATCATACCATTCTAGCTCAAAACAAGTGGTATAACCGAAGGCTTTAACATAATAGTAATAACAACCACTTTATTCCCAACAATAATTATAATACAGAATGGAATTTTCAGCGTTTTTATACATATTACTACAATTTAGCTCATTTTATAAATATATACATACATAAAATTAAAAATAGTAATAAAACCACAGAAAACTGAAAATTAGCGGAACATAATGAATTATAAATAGATAATAACATAGACAATACATGTAATAACAATCTGTTCCTATACTTTGCAGTTCAGTTAATGATTTAAAAAGTTTATAAGTTCTTTTCTTTTTAAGAGTTGGTTTGTAAGGATTAAATTTGTTTTTACGAGTTTGACACGGACTGATGTCAGTTAAAGAACCATTGAAAACCAGCACTGGAGTACTGGACAGCTGTTTCATCCTAGTTTGGGAACCATCGGCAGTACGCACCCACTGGGGTTCGAACGCAGGACCTTCCGGTTACAAGGCAAGGTGGCTCGTATACCATTCACCCACTGAAACCCGATTCAATGGCCCATGAGTTCTAACTTCTACCAATTCGTGATTTAGCGCGACTCCCTTCACACAACCACCCGTGTTAAATATGGTGGTATGGTAGAATTTTCATATTTAGTACCTGTACGAGCATAAATTCTAATGAAGTTTCTTCTGGTTTCACTCCCCAGAGAGAGACAAGGAAAAAGCTGTGAATCACAAAGAGCATGTTCGACAACATCAGAAACAATAACTTTAGTCAACCGTTTGCAAGAATTGAAATGCCTACCAACAAGAATGTCAGTTAGTTGAGTGAAAGGCATACAACTAACCTTACTTACTGCCTTCAGTGTTCTAGATAATATGATATAGTCTTTTTTGAGAAGTCCAGGGAACAGGGAGGGGGGACAATAAAGAAGGTGAATATGCAGAACACATGAATTAATAAATTGTAAGAGATGAGGTTGAGTTATGCAGCAGAAAGTCTCAACTTCTTTATGATGTAATAAGTCAAACACAAAAGTATCTTAGAAATCAATAAGATATGAGACGACCGATAGAGATTCGAAGAGAAATTGATGTCGAGATGAGAGATATTCCATTTACTCCCTATCATCACAATGTTGTCAATATTACAGGAATCATGGAACTGAATTAGTCGACATCTGAAACTAGGATCAATAATATGACATTATTATTATTATTATCGCTGTCACGTTCAAGGAGAACCCCGGTAAGTACAGATTAGATGCACTGTTTTCTCTCCATAATCAAGTAAGTCTCTGACAGTGTACTTCAAGGGAATAAAATACCAAAAGAAAATAACATAACACTAAAGATGAAGGGAATAAAACTAGGTCCATAGAATTCAGGGCGAATTTTACCCACGAAGTAGTAATATAGTATAATTTTAAATAATTTATAATGATTCACTCTGACTCAGTGCTCAAATTATTCCAGGAAATTTGTTACATCTACGGTCTGGAAACTTATAATACAGCATAATGTTTAACTTGTTCTGAATATATATTGATTATTTTTACTGCTATGAGTTTAAGTCAGAGACAGGGTGGTTTATGTTTACAAATAGTGTCTCTCTCCCTCTGGATTTGCAAGGATCCAAAAGGTCAAGATAAAAGAAGCTTCATTAAAAAAAAAATACCCATAAATATATTTAACTTACCTTTGTTTAATGAAAGTTCTAATTCCAAAAAATATATCAACAACACGAAAATAATCCAAAACAATCCGGAAATAAACTCGTAGTCGCTTTTGTATCGCGCATCATGGGGCTGTCTAATTATATATACATATATTGATTTGAAATTACTTAATTATCATTGGTTTACTATTCTGAAAGGTCAGTCCAATAAAGCTTATGCAGACCAAACAAAAGAAATTATACAGCCAATCATAATGCTGATAAGGGAGAGAAAGTTTAACTGATGTCTATTGAAATCTATTGGGTACAGAGAGATGACTCATGCTTATTTGTTGCTCACATGTCTACAGGCGTATAGTTGCATCTGTAATCTGCATACTGTGAATATTCTACTTCGTTTAGTGGTGGTCTAACCTTAGAGACAATGAGTTTAGTGTTTTACTCACTATGTCATGCCTATATCGTTGGCATGACCGACCCACTTATTGAACTACATCTCTACTCCTTTGTTCACCTATGGTCACAGGAAGTTATATGTGTAGCCCTCGTTTCACAAACTATATGGTCTAGTCTCTTAAATCAGCTACGATATCAATAAGTACTGTAACTCAACAGCCTGGTAGATGAGACGTACTTCCGACCAATAAAAATTAATTAATCTGATGAACGCTAGAGATTGGTTAAAGGCCGAGGTCACCTGGAGTTCTAATGGAAAGTCGTGACCGATTTGTGGGGTCTACCCGGTCGGGAATGCGGACAAATACTCACCAGCGATGACATTGGGGGGCGGGGAGCCAGTGTAACAACAGAAGACAAGCGCCAGGCAACAGATCGTTTATTAAGGAAAATCAACACATATTTATAGATTTTAATGTACATTATTGTAGATTATTGTTAGTAGAAAATACAGTCTTCTGATTGGTTGTTTCTCACAGAAAGTTAACCTTGCATCTCTTTGTGACTGTGTCAGATCATCCATATGCTAACTGTATCCGCCTACGCAAAGCCTTTGTTCTCATTTTTTCACCACCAATATTGAGGACGTCAATTACTGTCTACCAACTTTGGCTAGCAGCCAGCTCTCACCACACCAGTCGCGCTAAAATCATGAATTCGTAGAGGCTAGAATTCATGGGCTGGCGACATTGAGGAGTCGGATACCAGTGGCTGAATGGTCTACGAGCTAGCTTGATTTGTAATCGGGAGGTCCTGGGTTGGAACCCTGTCAGCAGGGTGGGTGCGGAGTGCCGATGAGTTCGAAGCTAGACTGACGAGATAGCTGTCCAGTACTTGAGTGCTGGTTTTCAATGGTGATTCTCTTACTGATATTAATCCATTGCCAAAATTTGAAACAATTCAAATCCCTACAAGCTAACTCTTCAAAAATGCTGAACTTACTTTATATATGACTCTAAATGAAGTTTCCATTGATGCTGTTTGACCAGAAGTGATAGTGTGCTCCATAGGTTCACGAAATTTTATTGACTGTAGAGTAATCAAACTTCTCACCCTTCAGATCAGCATGCGCGTCGGTGACACACCTGTTATGACTCTCGCCAACCATGCACATGGTCCGGGGTTTGATCTCCTGCGACGCACACCTGATATCTATGGTTGGCCTGCTAAATTTTGGGCTACCGATATCACTTGCTGAAAATTTCATGCCTGTACCAAAAATATGGTATGGAATCAAGCTATAACTAAAAATAAAAATAAATTCATTTGTTCAGTTACGTTAGAATTTTGTTGATGTAACCTACAAAAGGGTATTCGGTTAGATTACGTTCAGGCGTCATTTTATTCGGGCATCTAATCCTTTCCGTTAATTGTATTCAATATTGATTCCTCTCACAAATAACTATAATCAATTTTATGTGATTATGAGCAACAAGTCGTGCTTTAAAACCCAGTCAAGATAGCAATATCAACTAATTATACACTGCTACGGTGTACAGGTGTCTCTTTTATAGCATTTAAACAATCAGACTATCGATCGCATACATTAATTTTTGTTACAATACACAACTTACTTGACACCTTAAATTGGTTTAAATCCATATGAGTACACAGCTAATGGGTGCTTATCTGTGTACGTGTGACTAAGAACTAGATTGATTTGGACAACTGTTTACTCCTAGTTTGCAACCAGGACTCGAACCCAGGGTCTTCAGCTTATGAGATGAGTTAGCTGACTGTTGAGCTACTGGCCCGATTATACAGATATTTAACTAAACCTATCTTTACCGATTCAGGATTGGATGAATTAAATAAATCAATAAATGCATAAATACTTAGACTTTAGTTAGAGAACCATTGGAAAACCTGGGAGTACTGGGCAGCTGTTTCGTCCTAGTTTGGGGCTCTTCATCAGTATGCACCCACCGGGATTCGATGATGAAATACTGTAACCAATCAAATCCCTACAAACCAACACTTGAATACTTAGACTTTAATTCATCTCATCCATAATCGGTAAAGATAAGTTTAGTTGAATGTCTATACAGTGAGGGCTGGAGTTTAACTAGTAAGGCAGGAGATTTAAATGATTAAATCGAACAAACAAACAAAATACTAATAGTGAATGACTACCCACCAGAATTTATTCAGAAATGCATGAAGAACCATAAAAAAAAGATTAGTAATGAAAGTGCCAAAAATAATATAGAATTCAAAGCTCTTGTAGTAGTACTACCGAACAAACAGGAAAACTCAGAGGCCTTGAGTAGGGTTCTCAATGAGGCCGGAATCAGGGTAGCAGTTTTACCAATCAACCAACCAACTCTCTCAGAGAAAAACTTTGTCTTATTGATATAAGTATAAAACTTGGTCACTGTGGTGGAGTATAACTCCATTATAGACAAGATTTTATTTTGATAAAATCACACAGTGTTGTACAGCAATATTTACTGATAACGACGTTTCGAGAACAATTTATTACTGCTGGTAATCATATCAAGGCACTACTCACGTAGCTTTCTTGCTTCATTTATATACATGAGTAAAAATTGATGATTAGACATTTGAATAAAATCAATATAATAAGATAAAGTACATTCGGAAATAATATTACTAGTGTTATCATTAAAATACAATCAGATGGGAAATAAGATGTTTTTATAGTAAAATAAATAAATAACTTGTTAGAGTGTCATAATGTAAATTGAATACATTTTAATAATAATAATAATAACAGTGAGTTTGTTTCAAACAGTATTGTCGATTCAGTTCGGAAATTTTAGCATGTTATAGATTATTGAATCTAATGTTCTGTTGATATAGTATAGTGAGGGGAAATACAAAATTAACAGTCATAATACAGCTTAAATGATGTCCACACTTATGAAAAAAAAAATAAACAAAACGAAAAAATTGAGAGGATTATAAATATAAGAAGTAAAATAACAATAAAGTATGATGCTTTAAGGGTGAAGGAAATGGTTTATTTAGTGGTGCTAAGAAGGTTAGTTAGTTCATGCCTAACACTATTTTCATCACATAAAGTACGTGCTAAATATGGTATAGTGGAATTTTTATACTTAGACGTACGTGCATAAAGTCTTCTGAAAAGACTTCTTGTTTTACCTGAGGAGACACAAGGTTGGAGCTGCGGGTGCTGCTGTGGATGCTCACAGTCTGATAAAATTCCTTTAGCAAATTTGTTGCATGACATCAAGTGCCTATCAGTGACAATGTCAACGATATGGCCCAATGGGATACCACTCGTCCTACTGACAGTCTTCAGAGTTCTACGAAGTATGACATAGTCTTTTTTAAGCAATTTAGGAAAGAATAAGGGTGAACAGTAAAGAAGAATAGGTAAAATACACGAGTTGACAAACTGTAAGAGGAGTGGTTGGGTTATGTCTGAGTGCCTTAACTTCTTAATGTAAAAAGTCAGACGATTAGATTATTTATTATCCTCCTCTGATTTGACTCGTAATAATATCTTCCATATCTCTGGTATTTGCGTTGATTCATTTCTATTGCATGTGTTGAGTATAGGTAGACTCGATGAACCAGGATTCAGTAATCAATCTCTCTCGTTCTCCACCTACCTATATTACTTTTTAGAATTTTGACTCTGTCCCTTTCAGCCTATTGTGTGGTTGTGTGGTAATGCATGCAGTGCAATATGCTGAGTGTTTTTCTAAATTACTCATCTGTCTTGGTGGGATCAATCATTCTAACCTTAGCCACTAAATTCTTATTTTCTGATAATCTCGCTACCCCCACCCGATCTACTAGTTTGACCTATGTAGTTGACCTCCCTCACAGTCATTGCAAGGTATTTTGTAAATTATATTATTTTGTTTAATTGGGTCCACTGGGTCCTTTAACCTACAGAACTTGTCCTAAGTGAGTGAGTTTGTAGGTTTGAATGCCACCCTAATTCCTACTTTATTGAGAATCCTACGAAGGGCCTCAGATGTCCCTTGCTCATGTGGTAGAACTGTAGATGTCTTATATTCTTTCTTATTTATGTTTTCATTATTAGTTTCACCATTATTTTTATTCTGCTTTTGACCTTTTTTGATCTTCCTAATGAATTTTATAGGATAGTTAGTTATTTAACACCAACGCTTCTTCTCCTATCTGTTTCATTTCATCGTATTTCATATGATTATGGGCAATAATTTGTGCTCGAAACATCATCAGTTAATATTACTGTACAACACTGTGTGATTTATCAAAATAAAAAATCTTAACTTTGTCTGTTTAAGGACCCGCCCGAGAAATCCAATTAATAAAAATAATATAAATTACCAAATACCAACAGTGTCACGGCAGTAATTTGTGGACCAATACAAAACTTATCATTGTGTGTAAACTATTGAAATATAATTATACTTTATTTGACCATGTAATGAATGACTGTGAGGTTAATTATATCATAGGTCAAACTAGTTGATCGATTATTAGAACATAAAAACTTAGCTAGAGCTGCAATGACTGACCCTGTTAAATTAAATAAACTAGAGAAAATAGACTTCGGCCATTGCATTTCATTCGCTTGCATGTAACCATAATAAAGGTGGGGTGGGATAGAGTGAAAGTATTAAAAAGTAATATAGTTAGGTGGAGAGACAGAGAGGTTAATCACTGAATCTTTGTTTTTATCGATTTAACACCGCACACTTGT